GGTTTGGCAACTTGACACTTTTCACTGTGAAATTAATTCCCTGGATAAACTGTCAACAGGACAAACAGGTTCACCTAGAGCTTTGGCCCCACCATACAATGCACTTCATAATCTCAGAGCAGTCTACCAATGCATAGGTTTCAAGGCCCTGGGAGGGCATAAGATCAGGGAAGGCACTGTGTGCAGAGCTAGATTTCATAGCCACCAGGAGTCTGAAACATAGACACTATTCACATAGCAGGCCAGGGGCATGATGACTCACTCCCACCCCACCCCATCACCCTGCACAGCCCCAAAGTGTCCCTACTTAACCTTAGTGTTAAAGCTCTTGAAATGACAACGTGTAGAAACCATTGGCTGTACATGAGGTTAATTTCCAAAACCTGAACAGGGGACCTTACAGCTAGAGTAGAACCTTTCTTCCTCCTTATGGTCTGTCTTATCTGTTCTCTGAACAGCAGACTGGTGGGCCAGAAGAAACACAGTCAGCAAAGTTCTTAGGACTCTAAGGATGCTCAGTCATTGTCCATCGGGATTCAGAGATGGGGCCAGGAAGGAAGGGCATCCCAGACACGAACAGAATATGTGAAGATGTGAGAAACCAGGAGGCGTGTATCATGGTTGTTCCTGACATAGCCTACTTAGGCTGAGCTCCTGACATTGGCTCAGGCTGGTTTATCTTTGCATCTCACAGACAACTCTACATGTCATTGTTTAGAATGGGCATGGAATAGATGGCTAATAGGTCATTCATTGAGCAGACAGCCAAATTATCTAGTGCTTATTAACTTCCCTGATTCTTCATATGAAACTAAAATAACTGAATGAGATAGGTGGTTACTCTTGCTCCCAATGAACTATACCGCCTAACTTCCATGCCCTATGTACCCACCTCCTTGTTGACTCAGGCCTAGCCACACAACTGATTGTTTTGACAGCTAGGGCATCAGCAAGTAAAGGCTTCAAGGACACAGCAAAGTGGAGCTTATTTACTTTGCTGAGAAAAGACATGGAAAAAAGAAAAACATTCAAGGGAGCCATGAGAGAAGAGATACCTTGATTCTACAGGGGAAAAAAAGAAAGGCCAACCATGCAAGCATCCCAGCTAAGTTTCACTCACAATGCAAAGTAGTAAGAAATGATAAAATGTTAGATGTATATAAGCCATTAGTTTTGGAATAGAAGAGTGGGATGGAATTGTCAGGACAGAACAATAGCAAAGCAGGGAAAGGTCTTGAAAGCGGACAAGTTCTATTTGTAATTCACGGTGTAAGTTCAGGTCAACTTTTACTGTGATTTGAAGCTCTGTATCAACTCAAGAAGCAGCCTGAGGGTGAGAGCCACCTTTCCTAGCAAACGGAGAGCATCACAGAAAACCACAGCTGGATACAATGTGGAGATAGATGAATCATGGGGGGCACAGCCACTAAATCACAGATCTCAAGTGCTTATGTCAGGGAGTATTTCAAAAGAGGGAGCTGAAGGATTGAAGGGGGAAGACTGCCAGGAAGTCTGCTGTGTGTCTTGTAATTCAAATTCTGGAACACTAGCATGTATACTTGAAGTAGAGCGGCAGAACTGGAGAGATAGAGTCTTACTATGGTCTAAAGGCAGCGGTTCTCAACCTTCCTAACTCTGCAACCCTTTAATATAGTTCCTCGTATTGTGGTGACCCCCAACCTTACATTTTTTTGTTGTTGCTACTTCACAACTGTAATTTTGCTGTTGCTGAGAGTTGTAATGTAAATATTTTTGGAGCTAGAGGGTTGCCAAGCGGGTGATGGTGACTCAAAGGCTGAGAACTACTCATCTAAGGGGACGGAACTCCAAGGCCCCTGTATCCAGAGATAACCAGGCTCAGTGAAAGTCAATTCTATGAACCAACTTCTCAAGAAGCTGAGTGGTCAGTCACCATGCCAGTTTATTCATCTGCAATGAGAAATATTTCAAAGCCACAGTGTTAGGCTCTCTTGGGTGGGAAAGAAAGGGTTTCTCAGGGCAAACAGACTTTTTAAATCAGTATGGGATTCATATGTGGAAACATGGGGAAGTGAGGAAGGGCAGAACCCTGAACAAGTGAGCACTGAGGGATGCTAATTAATGCATGGTCACAAGGGGAGTGGGGAGGGGGAGTCCTTTTTGATGCTGGGAATCTTCATTTGTTTCTAGTCAGAATGCTTGTACCTCTCCTGGTGGTTTGACCCACAGGGTTGTGGGGGTGGGGAGGTAAGTTAGGGAGATTATTCCCTCTCTGAAAAGATCATGGGAAGGAAACGTAGGTGTGTGTGTGTGTGTGTGTGTTGTAGATTAATAGGATAGGGATGTTTTCTTCTGGTTTTGAGACAGGGTCTCTCACTGAGCCTGAAACTCATCCATTCCTAGGCTGGCTACTCAGTAAGCCTTCAGGATCTCCTTATTTCTGCCTCCCCAATGCAGGGGTTATAGGCACATGATGCTGCTCCAGGCCTTTCTCTTTCCCTCCCTCCCTCCCTCCCTCCCTCCCTCCTTCTCTCCCTCCTTCATCTCCTTTTATGTGGATGCTGGGGGTTTAAACTTGTGCCTTCATGCTTATGTCCCAAGGACTTTATCCACTAAACCATCTCTTTAGCTCCCAGTGAGTCTCTTCTTTTGTGGAAAACAGAACAGTTGAAGGATTTGGGAAGTTCATGAAAGACCATTAACTCTAAGAGCCTAGCTCAGGCACTTCTCCGGAATCTCCCTCCAGGAGCAAAGGCCCATGTCAGCTCTATTGCTCTCTCTCTCTCTCTCTCTCTCTCTCTCTCTCTCTCTCTCTCTCTCTCTCTCTCTGTGTGTGTGTGTGTGTGTGTGTGTGTGTGTGTGTGTGTGTGTGTAGTCTAGCTTATGTTTGCTTCTATGGCAGTCTTTACATGGCTCACTCTTGACAGTTAGGTGCACATCTTATCCATCTTCTGCAGACCAGACCCTGCACTGCATGCAATGGTGCTCAATAGATGTGGACCAAATTCACCAAAGAAGTTTGTGTTTCTGGAATTCAACATTACAAGAGTGTCTAAGTTAGAATGTCACTTTATCATTCTATACAGGTTTTAGCCTGAGGAAATGAAGGCCATGAAATCATCCATCCTTTTACCAGGAAACTTGTGCTTGGGAACGAGCTACAGCTGGCCAAAGCCACTTGTTATGAGCTTCCTGTGCCCCTGGCCAGTGCCCTGCAGGGTTTCCTGGATTTTAGGTGTCTTCTTTCCCCTCTCTTACCCTTTCACTCTTGGTGGTAAGGCTTGGGGGGGTGTCTCCCATTGCACCCCAGGGACCCCGTCCATGGTCACAAAAGTCTTGATGTCTCATTGAAAGATTCTTACAGACCCTTCCCCATAGGTCTGAGGATACAGCTCACTGGTAGAGCACTAGCCAGACATGGATAAGTCCTAAATTCAAGCATCACTACTACAAAAACTACCACACAGGCTTCTTTACGGGGGACCACGCATTGGCTAGAAAATGTGTAATGGGGAGAGGGATAAAGTTGAAAGAGGACGGTGGGGATACAATTGTGAGTGTCTGTCCCCTGGCATATGATATTGAATGGCCACGTCTCATCCCATCCATTCCACACCTCATCACCAGTGTCAAAAAAAAAAGAAAAAAAAAAAAAAAAAAACTGGCCACTCTACCAGCTTTCAAAAGGCAGCAGTCACAAATGACAAGACCCCTTTACCTTTTAACAAATAGTTTATAAACATGTTCATTGGAATTCAGACAATTGCAGCTGTGCCCAGTCACAGCTGTGCTAGGTCTTGTAAATACTCCTAAAATCTCATTTAGTGTGTAAGTCTCTCATGCCGTCCTTCCTTGCAAGCAAATGTCTTATCTCATTAATTCCCTCTGACAGCGTGGGAGATGGTTCACTTCGGCTCAGTCTGCCTCTCCTGTCTCCATTCTACGTTTGCACCCTGTTTAGAATTCAGGAAAGTAGTTATTTTAGGTTGGATATGGAGTTGGGCTAAAAAGATGGCACAAAGCTCGCCAGGGTGTGGGGGGGGGGCAGGAGAAATACTTAGAAGCCCTCTACTTTAAGTATTCGAATGGACATTTCCTAAACTTAGCCTCTGGAGGAGCTTTAAAAACCAGCGATTGCCAGGACATCACCACATGGGGGTCTAATTTTAATCTGGAATGCCATTGGCCACCTTTTGTTGTTGGTTGGGTTTTGCTGTTGTTGTTGTTGTTGTTTTTGTTTTGTCTTTTTTTTTTAATCACCAATTCTCACGTTGAAATCCACTGATGCGAATTCTTCTTTGCTCTGCTTAGTCTGGAACAAAACAAAAACAAAACAAAACAGAGCGAGCGCGCAAAAGGAAACTGGGTAGGGAAGAGTGGGGTTATTCAGAGCACAGCGCAGTAAGTGAACCAGGAAATCCGGCACCTGCGCTTTTAGCAGCCCACCGTCACTGCAAGGTTCAGAAAATCAGAGCGTGCGGCGATGCTACACACGCAGCCCTGGCAGGGCGGGGATAGTGGGCGGGGATGACTGGTGCTCCACCCCTGCACGCCTATCCGCGCGCGGTGCGGGCCCTGACGTCACTCTTGTCAGAGCAGCGGCACATGGACTGCCTGATGTGCTGAGCCCGGCGCTGCGGGGCCGCTGAGCGCGGGGAGCAGCGGCCGCGGCGGGGAGGGGGGTGGGGCGGGACGGCACCGCCTCGGGTGCTCGCGCGAGGGTCCGCGGCCCGCGCTTTGCATCCTGCTCATCTACAGCCATCTACATTTTTTCTTTTCTTTTTCTTTTTTTTTTTTCTTTCTTCTTCTTCTTTTTTTTTTTTTTTCTTGCAATTTTGAACATTTTGCAAGGCTCAGTGGTTGGAGGTAGGCAGGTGAGAGCGTCCCGCACAGGAGCCGGCGGTGCTGAGTGAGCTTTTCCGGGACTGTCAGCTTTGAGAACCAGAAAGTTTTTATTATTATTACTACTACTATTGTTATTATTGATATTTGTATGCTGGTGTGTTTACAAAGACAGAAGTAATTTTTTTTTCTTCCCTGCCTGCAACTGTTTTGAGAGCGAGTACTTTTGGTTGGCAAAGGACGGAGGGGGAAAAACTCATCAACATTTTGGGGCGGCGATTGGCCTTTTTAAAAGACAATTGAGTGCATCACGATGGAGAAAATGTCCCGACAGCTCCCCCTGAACCCCACCTTTATCCCGCCTCCCTACGGCGTGCTCAGGTCCCTGCTGGAGAACCCGCTGAAGCTCCCCCTTCATCCTGAAGACGGTGAGCGTTGCCTGGGCATCAGGGCTCAGGGAAGGGACAACACTCCCAGGGATCCCCTGCTTGGTCTGGCACCCGCATCTTTCTTCCCGTCGCCTGGCTTTAGTGAAATTGGGGGGTTCATTCCTCACTCTTTCTCCTCAATGCAAAGGGGATCCCTTCGGGTCAGCATTTGAGATAGCGCTGGGGACCTGGCCGGCACTGACTAGGTCTGTCCTTCTGCAGCGCAGGTGACAGGTGAACTTGACAGGTCTGGATCGCTGTCTAGAGTGACAGGGCATGAGCTTCCGCGGGAGAGCCTTGTCTCTTTAACTAAGAAAGAGAAATGGAAGTGTGTGTGTGTGTGTGTGTGTGTGTGTGTGTGTGTGTGTGTGTGTGTGTGTGTGTAAAACACTTAGAGCAGGGGGTTCGAGTAAAGCGGGGAGGGGGGGTCGTTTCACTCAGCAGCCTGGATATTTGGATTGTGTTACTGTTTCCGCTACTGTTTTGTATCATGAACTCACGCGGCGTGAGCGGAGAGGCTTGTTCTCCCGCAGAAGGGCAATTCACAAAGCGGGGTGGGGGTGGGGGGAGTGGTCTGTCGGCGGGAAGCGGTGCACGCCTCCAGCGCTGACACTTTCCCGGTGCACTCTTCCCGGTGGGAGGGGAGAGCTGAGCAGGCTCACGTGTAACCGCGTGCAGGAGCCTCCTCTGGCTTGAGCCCTTTCTTGGTAAGTCTCAAATCTTCCCTAGGCAACCATGGCTGGAGTTGGGGAGACAGGGATAGGGTGGGGTAGGGGTCATGCTTGTGAGACCGGGCGGGGAAACCAGAAATGCTGCACGGATTTGTGCTTTGAGCGGATGCAGTTTCCTTGCCTTTGGTGGTATCAGAATGACAAAAGCAAATCATGTGGCTCCTTAATAAAGTCTTGAAAGATTATTTGGCTGCAAATAGCTTCGGGTGTTTGAATAATTTTCTCTGGAAGAGAATGCCTGTTGCATTGCAAGAGTTGCTGGTGCTTGATTGCGCGTACAGACCCCCCCATCCCCACCCACCCACCCCAACCCCGTACCCTCCAGCGCCTTAAGAAGTAGCTTTTGGGAGAAAGCGGATGTGGTAGGCTTTTGCGGTGGATGTTTTAAGTCCAATTCGCTAATGAGACTGTGGAGGATTTGGAGATTAGAATGAGTGGCAGAGGGGCTGTATATCTCTGAGGAATAAAAAACTCAGAAGCAATTCTGTAATCCTAGATTCCGCCCACTCCTGGATATTGGCAAAATGAAAAGAGCTTGGTAAAGACCAAATCTTGGGGAGATGAATTTCCAGGCAGAAAACAGCTGCATTCTTCTATCCTAGTGTAGAATACAGCACCTTTGCAGTAGCCCTGCTTCGGACGGGATGCATAAATGTATGCTTCTTTTGGTAAATTAGGTAATATTTAAATGTTTGGGGGAAAGAAAGAAGAAACCACCGTTTAAAGCTAATTAGCTGGTCTTGTGTATGTCCCAGTGGCTTTTCAAATAGATGGATGAGTTTGAAAGTTCTTCTCAACACCACCATCCCCACCCTGCACCCATGCCCTACAGGCCCCCTGGCCTAAGACAGGAGCCTCCTTATCGTCCTTGTAAAAGGGAATAGTTGAAGTCTTGCAAGTTTATTGAGCAATTACATGGAAAGGGGTCATGTAAGAACTAGATACATAGAATTAAGGATATGGGGGGTGGGCTCTGCTTTACTAAGACTAAAAGTGTGGTGACTACTCTGGCCTATAAATCTGAATGACCTCAAGTTCTTACTGTAATAAATTTGTGAAAGATAAAATCATACCAGGTTTATTGGTGATCTACTTTAAAAAAAAAATCATGTCAATTGTATATAATCTTGGGTATTATTTTCCTAACATAGATTTCAATGACTTATCCCTTCAAATAACACACCGAGAAGTATTCTCTTGTTTTTATTCCAAATCAGTCTGTAGCCCCGTTCTACAGACCGATGCTTTCTTTCCAAAGTAAATAGGAAGATGTTGAAACTCTAGATTCACAAAAGACAGCATGCAGAGGGCTCAGTGCTCCCGAGAAGTAGTTTTGTAACTGATGGCAGGAAGGCTGGTGAGAGAATGACCCCTTTTCTTTTCTGTTTTTAAAATAAAGCTCACTTTCTCCTTCTTCTTCAGCATTTAGCAAAGATAAAGACAAAGGAAAGAAGCTGGATGATGAGAGCAACAGCCCGACGGTCCCCCAGTCGGCCTTCTTGGGACCCACCTTATGGGACAAAACCCTTCCCTATGACGGAGATACTTTCCAGTTGGAATACATGGACCTGGAGGAATTTCTGTCAGAAAATGGCATCCCCCCCAGCCCATCGCAGCATGACCACAGCCCTCACCCTTCTGGGTTGCAACCGGCTTCCTCCACTGCACCGTCGGTCATGGACCTCAGCAGCCGGGCCTCTGCACCCCTCCACCCTGGCATCCCATCTCCAAACTGTTTGCAGAACCCTATCAGACCAGGTAAATTCTGGACAGTTCACCCTTTAGAGGTGGGGGTCAGGGGAGAGAGGTCTGCATGAGTAGGAGACCTTCCTAGAGAGGAGCCCTCTCCTCTTTCTGTTTTGAACAGCCTTCCTCCTTCAGTGAGCATGTGCAGCTCCCACCTGCAGAGTCAGTTGGTTAAATTCGGACTCTATGGACCTTCCCTTAGAAAGCTAGCGCTTTCAGGCCCACGGTATGAACCCAGAGTGTTCATTTTAGCCAACTCCCAGGAGAATTCTGAGTAGTTGGTTCAAAGGCTACAGTTTATGATACTCCAGACTGGAATTAATGACTGGGCTAATGGGTTCGTGTAAATATCCACCCTAGCTCCTGCCCACATCCCCTGATCCCCAATCACAAAGATAATAGGATCTTGCTGGATAATTTGGGTAGACCCCTGAAGGCTAGGTCTCTGGCCTAAAGAGGTCAATACCAGTAGAGGTGTGGGACAGTTTTCTTCATCCACTTCCTCTTGTCATTGGCTAAGACCTAGAATCCAAATACAAGCAGGCTCTCCTATCCACTGAGGCTAAGCCTCTTTTTTCCTAGCACTCTGTATGCCTATGAGCCAATCTGCCTTTATATTACTTTCACTGTCATCTGTTTCTCATGTTCATTCCACCTTTATCAGGGGCTTGTGACAGGGCCAGGGAGTGAAGCTCCAGTCAATATGTACTTGTGTGAGGACCAGAATTTGACCCCGAGTGCCCATGTAAAAAGCCAGGCTTGGTGGCACTTTTGTAATCCTAGTGCTGGGGAGGTGGATACAAGAGGATTGCTGAGGTTACTGGGCAGCCAGCCAAATCAAATCAAACACACAGGCACCCACATGTACACCTACACCCCTCCACTTAAACAGCCTCACACATGGACACAAATGAACAATAAAAGAGGTTTTACAATGACACAAAAGCATTGCCTGGCAAGAACTAGGCTTTAAAGCCCATTGCCAAATGAACAGGGTTAAGCATGGGCCGAGGCAGCCTGGGATCCATACCTTTAACGTACACGCATACTACAGCAGCACACAAGAAGGAAGAAAGGTCATTTTATGCACAGGTACCAGGAACAAAGATTCAGACTGATAAAATTGACAGGAAGGTCACTGAACGGAAGGCCTTAGCTGCAGGGAAAGACAGAGAACAGGACAATGAGAGACTTGTGTTAGCATTTGTGGCTGAACTCTGTGTCCTTGACTCGGGCAGAAGAAGTTTCTGTCACACACAGAGCAGGGTTTCAATGGAAGGGAAGGAGGAAAGATCACACCTACTTTTATGCGTTAGTCCCAGAGTTCAAGTTCACCCTTTCATATATCTCTGGGTTTCAAATATATTTTACCCCATCTCCCAAATCCACTTTGGTTGATAATGAAGTCTTAACCCACAGCTATCTTCAGAGGCTGTATTACCTACCCCCTCGATGTTTATTAGATGGCTTTCTATGAAGAAAGCATAGTGCCAGTGTCTTCAATTTCTTCACTGGGAGAGGCAGCTAGCAAAATACATAGCCCTTCCATGCCGGATATGATGATGTGTCACAGGGAGAGAGCAGAGTCCCAGAGAGTGGACATTGGCACTTTCCACACTCTGTTGCATATCTGAGTAAACTTAGTAATGGCATAACCTCTTGGATCCTCAGTTTCCCCCTTTAATAGAAAGGTATAATTTCAATTTGATGGGGCTCTTTTGGAATTTATAGGCAATGCACCAAGGTCAGATGGCTAGCGTTGGGTGGTTTGTTAATTCAAGTGGTTGTGGTTGTTGCTAACTTTTACTGCTATGTCAGTGTCACCTGAAATGCCTTCCTAAAGTCACTAGATACAGTACATGCCCTTTCATTGGAGAGGCATATCAGGAGATTTTGCCCAGTGTGTATTGTCTAGGGTATTCCTACTGAGAGTGAGATATTGGGGTCTTAGAAATTGAGGCTCAAGTAATTTCTCAGAGCTTAGAGGCAACAATGGTCCATGACTCAGGTGATGGGGATTTCCCAGTCAGAGTTGTTGCGTATAGCAAGGAGTTCCCAAGTGTCTGTGGGTATCACCTTATTAAGTTAAGAAGAAACACACCAAGAGACCTGGAAATAACCCCTCCATTTAAATATCCTTTAAAAAGTAGTGGCATTACATTTCAAAATGATTTTATTCTTTGAATTGAAATCCCAGTGATAGCTGTAACAAGAAAAAAAAAAATCAAAACTCTTTTTCAAATCACATTCTGCCATCCATACAATGTTGCTCGTGATGCAGATTATACTGAGAAATGAAATTCTAGGGGACATGGGTTTGATGGATTTGTTAGGTCAACCAGAAGAAGGACAAAGTTCTTGATTATTCTCCATAGCTCAGAGGAGTAACCAGAATAGAAGTACCAAGTGAATCTTGAGGAAAATAAGTCCTCAGAACGGAAGAGTGCAGATGTAGCCCTGAGCATTCTGGGAACTGTGTGATTTCAGACTCAACTGAGATTTCTCAACTTTGGCACTGTCCCTTGAGGGCAAGTATGTGCTATAAGCCTTGTGGATTATAGGATATTAAGGGATACACTTACTCTCTCCTTTAGATGCCAGTGGCACCCACCCTCCAGCTGTGGCAAGTAAAAATGTCTTCAGTCACCTCCAAAAGTCCCCTGGGAATAAAATCACTCCTAGCTGGAAATTAATGACCTGGACCTTCAACTTAGGCACAAAATTTAGACTTAAGCTACTAGCATAAAAATGAATCCTTTTTATCTCCCATAATACTCTATGGCAAAACTTTTGGGAAGATTGAGACTCTGGGTTGCCAAGAAGAAAGAAATATGTATATTAATAAGAGTGTTCTGCACTTGTAAGGGATAAAATGAAGTCATCAGGATAGCCAGGAAATAGTGCAGCACTGTTCAAACATTTGCCTTCAACTGCTTGCTTAGTATGCAACTTTTGAGTTATGCCCAATGGCATTGTGTCAATAGTGCTACCTGTCTGGGTGAAAGGTAGTGAAGCCAGACTGACAAATCATGTAGGATGAGATAGAGCTAGCTCGAGGGTATTTTGAATGACAAACTGAGCACAGTTGAAAACTTCATCATGACCGCTCCCCAGACCCTTTCCCTATGTTATTCATCCTGATCCAATTCCCCCATGCAGGTGTCTGATCAAGGAATGACTCAATATCTGAAGAAACAAAATGTTTCCTGAAGACCTATTCCAGAGACACATTGAAAACTGTGGTAGTGGTGATGATGCTATGGTTTGTCCTGTTCTTGAAGGGGAGACTGGATGGGTCTTGGGTGTGGTTATCTTCAGGGTATCTGTATGCATCATCCTGGCTGTTAGAAGCCCAGCAGGATAGGCTTTGTTATTTGCACATCAAATGGTATCAGTGGTGGTGGGGGCAGCTCCTGAAGTTTATATGCTGGGTACTTGGAAAAATAAGAATCTGTTTGCCCTGAGAATTGAGTGCCTGCTTTAAGGACAGCTGTCCCTTTAGGGACAGTCATCTATAGCAGACAAAGGCAGAGTTATTTTTAAACCTGTGCTTATAAAGATGGATTTGAAACCTTTTTATTTTTTTCTTTTTTAATAGCTTTGGGTGTCTTGCAGCTTTAAGGCTCAGGCTGAGTAGAGAATTAAGGAGGTTTTCTTTTCAGTCCTGAGCCCAGGGTACCATAAATGCCGGGTACACAGAAAAGTGAAAAATCCTTCTGTGTGGTCACGTGTGGGAAGAGGAGGACTCTGAGTGAATGGCATTGAGAGAAGGGGATGGGGACATGTGCTGTAGCTTTGCAGCAGGCAGTTGGTGTCTTCTTTCTGCTTGTTGTCCTTGATGTAGGACTTCTGACATTGAAGGGAAATCCCAGCTATGAAATTTGTGTGATTATGTGGGGAGCTCGGGGAAGGTGGTTCTAAGATTATGGGGAGTCCCACGGAGGAAAATGGATGAAGATTACTTTAAGGACCTATAGATCATATATTTTCCTACCCAGTGTATGTCCATCTGCTTGCTGGCTGGGGGAACTGTGAGTGATGGTGTTGTGTATACCACCTTAAGAATCTTGGCAGTTTCTGCTTCATTTGGATTAAGAGAATTCTGAAAGGGAGACAAGAAGTCCCATTTGTTCAGAATGTAGTCTCTTAAAATGACTTCTTGTCCACCATGACCTGGAAGAGGCAGGCTTATCTGTTCTCATGTCCACGTTGCTGACTTGGACAGAATAGTAATCCTTTGCCTGGGGCAAGAGATATTTGGGAAGGGGGATGGAAAGCAAGAGAGCTTGGTGGTAGGAATGTAGGCTTTGGTACTGGAGGTTGAGGTTTTATCCTAGACTCACCCTTAGCTTGCCAGGTCATTTTGTGTCTGCTGCTTAACCTCTCTAAGCCCCAGTTTATGTGGAAATAGAATGGAGGCTATAAATAATCTTCTCCCCATGGAGTTTTATCAGGCTTAAACAAGATAAAGCATGGCAAAATGCAGTGATGTGCCCGGCACAGGGAAGCTCAGTAAAAAGTACCCGTGTGAGAGCAGTGGCAGGAAAAGGAATGGCTGGGTTCCCTGTCCCCGTTCTCCATTTAGGGATGTGTTCATTTAGTCCTCTTCCCTCTGCAAAAATAGGACATGCTTTTTTTTTTCTTTCTTTCTTTCTCCCTCCACATGCCCAATGATCATTCTTGCACCTGGTGTGACCTTTCTCTCCCTCCTGGGTTAGAGTGAATTACTTCTGATGTTAGCCTAGCAGTATCGTCTCTAGGTTAGCAGTTCCTATTCTGTCTGTGGGAAGCAACCCAGCACCTACCCCCTCCCCTGGGTCTCACGGGAGCCCTGGACACCCTGGCTGCCTGCCTGCAGGACCGTGTGCTCCAGGCACGTGGCCATGCCCTGTGGAGCTTGCCCAACTTTGGGTGGTGTACTGACTTGTCTTTTTTCTTTTTCCCTCCTCCCTCTTGCTTCTCCTCCCAGGAGAACTACAGCAAGTGCCAGTGAGCAATGATAATCCCGACCC